GAACTCAAGTGATCTGCCCACCTTGGCCTCCAAAAGTGCTAGGATTACAGGTGTGAGCCACTGTGCCTGGCCTAAATTTGTATGTTTTTAATTTAACTACCTAGTACTACTGAATCAAAAACTAGTGGTAGAAGGCCGGGCACAGTGGCTCACACCTGTAATCCCAGCAGTATCAAAGACAGAGGCAGGCAGATCACCTGTGGTCAGGAGTTAGAGACCAGCCTGCAGAAAATGCTGAACCCCATCTCTACTAAAAAAAAAAAAAAAAAAAAAAAAAAGAAGCTGGTGGTTGTGGTGTGCACCTGTAATTCCAGTTACTGAGAAGTCTAAGGCAGGAGAATTGTGTAAACCCAGAAATTGGAGGCTGCAGTGAGCCAAGCTTGCGCTACTACATTCCAGCATGAAAACAGAGAAAGATTCCATCTCAAAAACAAAACAAACAAACAACAACAACAAAGAAAATAATTGATGGTGGCAATTAGATTTTTTCTTGTAGGAAACAATGTTTTAAGCCACCAACTTTCCATCATTACCAATAATCTATAGTGAAAAATACAGATCAGCTCAGGAATGTGAATAATTCAGATCAAGATGAAACATCTTAAAGATATTCCTTTCTACACAAATTTCCAAACTTTTTTCAAAACTGGGATCTTAAACTAATCTATACAAAGCAAAAATTACCAAAAACATTTTACAAATAAAATAAAATAAAAACTTTAGGGTATATTATGAATTGCATATTGAAGTTATTCTCACTGAGGAAGACCAGGTTTCTGTAGTTCTCTAGCATCACGTCTCTGTATAAATTCTGTTGTGCAGTGTCCAGGCATTGCCACTCTTCCAGAGAGAATTCTATGGCCACATCCATAAAAGTCAATGGTCCCTGATAAACACACACACACATTACATATTTACCAAGAGAACATGAGCAGAATTTTAAATTTGACTCAAGATGAAATGAGAGTAAAAAGAAGTGCTTCTAATGTATGGGAGTTAATAAAATCTATAAAATAATTCTCAACACAATAATATGTTCTAATGTATTCACTAACTTTGTGTAAAGACAGTCACATAATCCACAACATGAAGGTGTATATATAACAGTTTTTTGGATTGCAAAGTATAAAATTTAGGGCATAAACACAAATGTACATTTTTGAGTGCTGTATTTGCATCAAACAAAATGAGCTGTGTATATCTTTCAAATGAAAAAGACATTTTGAGGTAGAAGGTATCCCTCAAATTTTTTTTTTCAGTTTTTCACTTGTATTTTATTATATTTATTTATTTATTTTTAATTTATTTTATTGCATTTTAGCTTTTGGGGTACATGTGAAGAACATGCAAGATTGTTGCATAGGTACACACATGGCAGTGTGATTTGCTGCCTTCCTCCCCATCACCTACATCCGGCATCTCTCCCCTTGCTATCTCTCTCCAACTCACCACCCCCCACCGTCCCTCCCCTGTTTCCCCCCAACAGACCACAGTGTGTACTGCTCCCCTCCCTGTGTCCATGTCTTCTCATTATTCAACACCCACCTA